AATTACATCCACATGCACTCCATTTTTAATTTTCCAGGTCCTCCTACCAAAGCCAATTTTCTTTAACTGGCCCATAACTGATAGCTAGGATAAAACTTTTTACAACCACCCGCACCCGATCATCCCCCATTACAGAGCCCCACCTTAAAATGCCCTTTTCACTTTCCAGCGCGGGGTAATCCGATTCCAATTCTATGCTTGTGCCATCGTCAATCGTGCACGCTATAAACTTTAACCCTTTTTAATATTGGCTTAAATTAATTAAAATCAAAAAATAAAATTAAAAGCAGCTCAATGCCCTCTCTAGTTTCATCTGTAGAGCAAAATTTTTTTTTATCTTATTTATGAGTGATTTTATTAAATTTTTTATAAATTTTTTATTTATGCTCCATTAAATGTTAGAGGGTGAAACTATATCATTAAAATATGTATATTTAATAAAGATAAATTAAAAATATTAAATTGTTAAATAAATTTAATAAATTTTAAAAATAAAATATGTTAAAAATAATTTATAAATACGTATATATAAAAGTAAAGTATCCTTTCCGAAAATGTTTCTTTATTCTTTACTGGTCACGCAGGTTGTTCAAGGATCAAGAGATGCTATGCTGCAACGAGCAAGTCATGTGATCAGCTTCCAACCGCCATCGTTACTCTAATCCCAAATCTTCTTCGATCCTTCTGGAACACTGTGCCTTAGATTTTTCTATTCTTTTTTATATTTATTTTTTATGTCGCAATTAAATAGTGTTTCTTACGCCACACATTTTTTTATATATATATGACCAGCTCATTTTAATGCTTCACTAGACAACAAGAGTGGGTAATCGGTAATAATCTCTAAATCTAAGCCCTTTTCCGTGGTCCCTCACTACTAAACGCCCTGTCCTTCTAGCTTTCTCTCTCTTCTCCACTGTACTACTGTGAGCGTGCTTTCTTCTTCCCCTTTCTTGCAGTTCACTGGTTTCTCACTCTGCCGTGCTCTTCCAGAATGCTGCTCCGGCCGGTGAATTACGCAGGGACTCTGGTCCTCGTCGTGGTGCTGATCGTTTCTGTAACCGCCGTTTACGCGCACAACATCACGCGCATTCTGGCCAAGCATCCGGAGTTTTCTACGTTTAACCATTACTTAACCCTCACACACTTGGCTCCGGAGATCAACGGCAAGACCACCATCACCGTCTGCGCCGTTGATAATGCCGCGATGAACGAGCTGCTTGCTAAACACCTCTCAATTTACACAATTAAGAATATTCTCTCCCTGCATGTTCTTCTTGATTACTTTGGGGCCAAGAAGCTCCACCAGATCACCAACGGCACTGCATTGGCCGCCACGATGTTTCAAGCCACGGGGACTGCTCCTGGATCCTCTGGATTCGTAAACATTACGGATCTCAAAGGCGGCAAGGTCGGGTTCGGCGCGGAGAACAACGGCGGCACTCTGTCAGCGCATTTTGTCAAATCTGTGGAGGAGATTCCGTACAATATCTCTATAATTCAGATTAGCAATGTTCTTCCGTCTGGAGCAGCGGAAGCGCCTACACCAGCACCCAGTCAACAAAATATCACGGCTATTATGTCCAAGCATGGATGTAAAGTTTTCGCCGACACGCTTTTGGCCTCCGATGCTGAACAGACCTATGTGGACAATTTGGACGGCGGATTAACGGTTTTCTGTCCGATGGATGATGTGTTCAAATCGTTCTTGCCGAAGTTCAAAAACTTGACAGCGTCAGGAAAGACAGCGTTACTCTTGTACCACGGCGTACCGGTGTACCAGTCACTTTCGATGTTGAAGTCCAACAATGGACTCCAAAACACGTTGGCTACCGACGGAGCTAACAAGTACGACTTCACGGTGCAGAACGACGGCGAAGAGGTAACGCTGAAGACCAAGGTTACGACGGCGAAAATCACCGGTACTCTAATCGACGAGCAGCCTCTGGCAATATACACAATCAACAAGGTTTTGCTGCCCCCGGAGCTGTTCAAGGCGGAGGCTCCCACCCCATCTCCAGCACCGGCACCCGAGCCTGCTGCGGCCGACGCACCGGCATCACCGAAGAGTAAGAAGAAGAAGGCAGCACCAGCACCGGCAGATTCGGACGCACCGGCAGATTCGCCAGATGACGCTGCTGATCAGACGGCAGACGACAATGGTGCCGTCAGATTTGACGGCGCAACTCACATTTTCTTCATAGTAGCTTCGATTTTCGGGTTTCTACTTGTGTAGGATCTGGAACAATATTTGACCCTACAGAAAACTTGGTATCCTGGTATGTTTGTTTTCATCTTCCGCCTACTTTTGTTAGCTCTAGGGTTTTATTTAGAAAATAAAGTAAAAGGCCTCCTTTGGTTTGGGTAAATTACTTGTTGTCTTTTTCTTTTTTTTTTCCTCAAGTGTGTTTTTTGATTTAACTGTTTATAATTTGTAATTTTGGTGGTGAGCTAGCCAGAAGAAAATATATACCTGCCTGGGTGTATTGTAATTTGTAACTTGAACTTTGCTTCTTCTTCTTCTTTTTAATTATTGATTGCGAGCTGGTGATTAGCTGATTGGTAGTGTGGTTTTATATTTAGGCATTATCTTTTTTAAACATTTTCTGGTGTTTAGATTTGAAGGTTCGAATATTGTTAATGAAAAAAAAAAAAATACGAGGGAGAACTACTAGCTTCAACACAATTATCATACACGGCCTGAAATTGCTCGATCTCAAATCTCAATTCATCATATCTAACGTTTGTTTTATTTGCCAATGTATCTAGCTTTTGTTTAGGAAAATAACAATCTGATACTTATGATTAAAGTCAATGTAGGTAAAACCTTAGAGGTGATAAAAATTCACAAGAGATTAGAAAGAGAAGTATTGGTTTGGCTAAAAAGAAGTTAAGTTTTGGCAATAATTTTTATTTATATTCATAATTTTTAATTTGGGTTAAAATATAAATTTGCACCAAACATTTTTTAAAAAAGACAAAATCGATATCCTAACTTTTTAAATGACATAATAATGCCGTTCTCAAGAAGTAGTACAATTTTGTTGCGGACTAACAGAACCAAACATTTGACCGTGTTCTAGTTGACCTTATTGTGCTTACGTGTCATTACCACCTGGCATAGTTTTAAAATTAAAAATAGAAAGAAAAAGGAAAAATCAGATCCGCCGAGCCATTCGCCCATTCCCCTCCTCCTCGCTCTTCGACTTCTCCTGCCATGGCAGGGCAGTGATCCCTCCATGGAATTGATGAGCAGCAACCCGAATTTTCAAGAGGAACCAAAACTCAGATTCAATCTTATTCTGCAAGGGAGAGGGAAAAAACGCAACCTTGAGGACGCAATGTCAAGAAATCTAGAAATCTCATTTAAAAAACTGTACATGATCTAAACTGACATGGAGAAACGCAATCAATTAATCAAACTTAAAGCGCCCATCTTTTCGAATGCTAATTGATGAATCACAATAGATTCTAGTCGAGATTTTTAATGAAATTTAATCCGTCACCAGTTTGCAGAACAAACTCAAAATTTAAAGAAAGACAGAGAACAATCAATCACTAGCTTAAGGAGCATATTCAAAATTCAAAGAGCAAAGAACAAGCTCACATATTCATAAACTAATTTAGAACTCAAAATCACTGCTGCAAGCTCAGTCGCTTGAAAATATAGAGAAGATGACAGGGTTACAAATTTCTAGATCGCTACTGCAGAACACATTGTTATGGCCAAGGGCAAGAATGAAAGTGTCTGATTTTAAATCCAACAAGATGCTGGAGTTCCAAAGAGTTCGGCCCATCGGATCTCTGCAAGTGAAAAGGGACGATGACCATGGCAGCAAAAAGGGAAACGGAGGGTTTACAGAGGTAATCTCACGGTCTCGGTGAATCGGATCTCGGCAAGTGAATGGGGAAGAAGAAGCTTAGGCGAAAACTGCACCTGAGCGCGAGATATCGGAGCTTCGCTTCTCTCCCTGAGTTGGTGTTCAACGTCGTCGTTTCCTTCAATGACCTGATCGTTTTCTTTCCTTCGCTTCTCTTGGAGCTCGCACCAGTATCGGCGACGAGGAGGGGCTCTACGGCCAGGACCTGATTCAGAGGGGATGACAGACGCATGCGGCCAGGATTTTTTTGGGGGGGGGGGTGGGGGAGAATAAGGAAGACGGAGAACGATGGCACACGTGGCATGTATCAAAATTTTCCTGCACACGTGATATCAGCGTGCGGGCCTGCTTAGACAAAATTGACACCGTTATTCAGGTGACGTTGTCCGATTTTTAAAAACATTAGGATTACATTTTTTTTTGCCACTATTTTTTTTTTAAATGTTAAAATTTCAATTGTGCCTTTTTTTTTTTTTTTAAGGTTCGGATGGATACGTACTTTAATTATTATGATTTTTAATTACTCATATGAATATAAATTATAAATATTTAGTAGCCACGGTCATTTTATTTTATCCTTCTACTTATCCAAAAGCTGTCCCGCTACCTTGATTTTTGGACAAATGCATAAGAGTTTCTCAATCATAAACTTGGCACGGACTCGGGTAACTAGCCAGCTTTCACCAACACTTACGTTGAAATAAGTCAACAACATAATGTACCCGAATCCGTTCCGTATTTTAAATGGTATACATGCTTCATGACATGTATTGGAGATCTGGATCTCTTCATACTATTTTTCCGATGCATCTCTTCACATCCAATATTTAGTAATTCATTTCATTTTAGTGACATTATCTATTTAATTATTCATTTCATTTAATGATGTAATATACTTATTTTAATATCATAATTAGCAATTTTGTACTGTTAATCTGGGATTGTATATGGTGGGAGGGTATAGAAAGAATTCAAATTCTACTTATTACATATTCTCAATATTAAAACATATAACATGCATTCTATCAATACTTCAGCTATTCTGGCAAAAAATGACACAAAAACTTCATCTTGATTTTATCACCCAAGGTAAAAACCAAAAACCTTAAACTTGGAATGGTGGGGTGCGCCAGGCCCACGCAGTAGTGCAAAGCACGGGCGACACTTGAGGGCCCTAATAGCAAGCTATTGTTGTGGGCACTCCCCCTGAAAAAATTAATTTAATATCATGTGGACTTATAGCCCACGTATCAGATATTAAACTGATAAAACAGAATACTACACTTGACTTAGCCAAAAGGCCGAGAAAGGTATGCCTTGTATTGTTATTCCGTTGTGCTTTTATATTAGCTTCATGCTTCTCTGCACTTTCCACTCCACGATGTGGGACTTCGAGTTCCAAACCTCACTGAATTCCCGCTCCTTTCCTTGGTCTGTCTGTCAATCTTAAACCTCATTTCCAGCAAAAACTTGAAGATGTAGTCGTTTTATGAGTAACGTTGGTCCTATTATGAACTTGTTTTGGCTGACGACATGAGAATTAACTGTGAAAGGTAAATATAATAAATAAAACTAGCATTCAAAATTATCAAGGAAAAACTAAAAATTGTCAACATAAAATAATTGAGAATATACGATCGTCATACTCACAGGTTAGGAATGAAGTGATTCAACTTATTTATGACTTTTTGTATGTACATAAGCTAATTCTAGTTAATATCAAACACTTCAAATGCAATTGCTGGCAACTAGGGGTGTTCAAATGTTCAGTTTGGCGTCCACCTTGAAATTTGAGCAAGAATCAGCCAAACCAACCTGATATTTTATTTGGAGAAAAGTCATGGACTGATTGATGAATGGTGATGAATATTCACTTCATTTCATGGGTTTCTCGGCAAGCATATTTTTTTTGGTTTGTTTCTCATATATATTTTTTATTGGAGGCAATTATGTTTGAGACATTGTTGGGAATTAAATATGAACACTTAATGGGGATTCAAATCCTGATTTATTATGTTTGTGTGAGTGACTAACCCTTTTCGTTTATACCCGATTAAGTTTTTTTATTGATTGTTAATGCACTCCAACTTTCATTAGATATACCAAAAGGACGGGGCACCTAGCGCACAACCATGCTGAATTTTATTAAAGTTAACTTTATTACGTGGGTCAGTCCACAGCTTGTCTGTCCAAGGCCAAACGGCCCAAAAAAAATCCTAGGAAGGCTCAATTAATAGCTTTAAACAGGTCCATCGGGTAGATCGGCCCACTTTGAATGGGAGTAGTAGTCAACGCCTAGCTCTACATTATAAAAGAAATATTGACACAAATTCTTATAATTGAGTTTTTTTTAAAAAAATGATAGTTTAGGGTTATATGGATTAGAAAAATATAAGTTGGATTGGATTTGATTCAACTCATTTTATATGGATGGAAAAAAATATCAACCTAACCCAACCTTTAAGAGTTGAAAGATTAACTGGATTAATCTATCAACTCTTTTTTTAATTTATTTTATAAACTTTTTAATAATATATAGTAAATGAAATGACAATGAGTTCCAATATGATATTCCTTCATGCCATGATTTATTCTAAATATATTAAATATTAACTCATAATGTTTATATAAAATATATGAATTAAACTAGCCAAGTCATTGCCTATCACTTTATCAAAAGTCTTGAATCTCTATATTTTTCTTTTTTTTATTTTTTAAAAATAATATGAATTAAACAGGCCAATCCAAACCTTTAAGATTGACTCATATAGTTCACAGGTGTATCTTGTCCGAGTCAAAAAAAATTTATTTTTATTTGAATTAATTTTTTTTCTAGTCTTGACTCTTATGATCAGTTATTTTGGCCAATCAATATAACTCAATTCATATTCTGGCTGTAGCATTTTCATTAAAGTAATCAATTATATTTGTAACTCACACTATATTCCAATGGAGGGTTTGGACCTCTACTTCACACCTACAGGGAGGTGACATTCCATTAGAGTAGCTTACATTGACAATTTAAATAGGAGGGATTATTTTTCTAGTTGATTCATACGTTATGAGAAGTTGAGAACAATAGGATGTGCCACTGATCATCCCAAGATCTGACGCTGGTGATAGATTTTTTTTTTTTTTCCTTGGCTAGAAACAAGATTATGTTAGATCAACATAAATCCACGAAACGAAAAGTTGAGGAAGGCCAAGCTCAAAACTCATAAAACTCTAATCTTGAAAGCAAAAGACAACACAACCATCACAAATCGTATGAATCAACCAGAAAAGTACTTCCCCATAT